TAATCTCTTTCTCTACCCAAATTTAAATAGAAGAAAAAAGAATAGCATTCGTTGGTTACCTTGACAGAAGGTGAGCAAAAGAAGGGTGAGAATCATCAAAGAAGTGGAGATAATTGCCATAGAGATTCTCATAATTGGTAATGTCTCTTATGTTTTGAACAATAATGTTGATAAATTAGCTTAGTAACTGTGGAGAAAGCAGAGCCAATGTTTATTGTGATAATGGATTCTTGGTTGGTAGGGATATAAGTAGGAGGTAATGAGAAATGGTGGAGTAATTAGAAAGAAATGCAGATGAAATTAAAGAAGAAACATCGACCACCCAAGAAATTAGACCAAATTTGAAGGTTAGGGGGATGGCACTATATATGAATTGGGAAATTAAGGTGGGTGTGTGAGAAGGAATATTTGAAAGATAAGAAATGGGGTTTGTTGCGTATTTTTATATAAAATAAACAATCAAAGTCGGCACATAGGGGGTCTTAGATGGTGTGTGGTGGGGAAGGCTAGTAACTTTAGTGAACTTGTAAGTTGTTATACTCTTGCAAATTACCAAAAAGAAAAAATAAATTAAGCTAATTAGCTAAATAGAGTACTTTGCCACAAAAAACAAACATCGTATTCAATAATTTAACTTGTAATTTGTTTACACTTTGCAGTTTGCAATTATGTCATTGAGTTGTCCTAACATTTTAACATACTGAAGAGTGAAGACCAAATTATGAACTACATGTCCTTAAACAGTCTAAAAGTAACTCATTATTTCTACAAGCTAAAAATTTACAACTTTTATTTGAACAGCGAAAAGGAAACAAGAATTGGAATGTGCAAGTGCAAGTGCATGTGCAACTTCTAGTAAAGTAAATTTGTCATAGAGTTTTAATTATGGAAATATGCTTTGTGACATTTCCACAAGAAATTGCCTGTGAGAAAGAGCGGTACATAACTTTTAATCTTGGACATCCCACGCATGTAAAGATTTATATGGACCCGTTTGGTCATAGATTTCCAAAGTAATATTTGGGGAAAAAATTGACAAATAGTGTTTGTCCATACAATTTGCTATTATTTGGCAAATATTTTTGGCAAATATCCCAAATTCTCAAATACTAGTTTTTTCTACTATGTAAGCCAAATCTCATTATTTGAGATTTTTTAAAATTGAAATTTTACACCAAATTTTTATGTTTTACAAAAACACCCTCTATAGTAGTTGTTTGCGTTGTATTACATACTTTTTTACGTGAACACCAAAGTAGTGATGAAATATTCAGTGAATATGAAAGTGATGATATGGTTGTTGATGAAAATGATGAACAATCGGCTCAAGGTAACAAAGTCATGTGCTTTGTCTACTTCACGATGTATGGAATGATGCTTATTGCACTCACTCCAAACTACCACATTGCTCCAGTGTCATGGACACTACTTGTTATTTGTTGCAACGAAGATTCTATTGACTTGTAATACAAAACTTATGGTTAGTTTTGATAGTTTTTAAAACTTACAGGTATAAATCATATTTTTCTAAAAAAATGAAATATGTTTTCTAAATACTATGACCAAACACATAGTGAAATTTCACCCAAACTTTTACCAAAATAATATTTGCCAAGAATATTTGAAAATCTATGGCCAAAGGCTAGGATAAGATGAGGATCCTAAAATAACAGAAACTAGTTTCAACACTTTCAGCTGCCGCCGGCAAAGACAGAAAAAAAGGGCCTTGTCTAGCTTTTGTGAAAAACATTCATATCTTTTTAGTGCTCTCTTATTACATCGTGTCCTAAATTCATAATCTTAGCTATAGTAGATAGTTGTATTAGACGTATAAAATTACTAAAAATGAGAAAAAAGAATACATTCTCCCGTTTGATTTTACCAGTCTTGATTGGACATCACGTTAAAGAGGATAAGGAAAACTTTTAAAATGTTTTAAATGTATCAAAATGTCCTTCGAATCTAGTCATGTTAAACATGTGTTATTTAAATTAAATTCATAATCGATCCAAATCGATTCATAAAAAAAATTGTGAGGACACGTGTTGATAGGAAAAGTGGGAAGCCCCCACCCCCTTAGCTTATGATGGGAAATGTTGTCAGCTAAAATGGATGTTGTGATGAGTTACATAATGCCACCGCTGCGACTCACCGACACATGTATTCGTAATCTCTCTTCGCGCTACGTTTATTCCTATTTTTAGCGCATTCCGTATAATACAACACATTACTCCTATTTTGGTTTTCTTTCTTTCCTCTTTTTTTATTTTTTTTTATTTTTATTTTACTCAGCTGTTTATGTTAACACTTCATTTCATATTTTGTTTTCCACATAAAAACACATATTACTTCCTTTTCTCTTTTAATTACTAGTAATATATAGACTATAGTACAGTGACTTCTACATTCTTATTTATTAACTGTTCACACGAAAATTAAAAGAGTACGTTATGACTTATGAGATCACGCAAATACCAATTAAAATATACTCCATTATATTTCTCTTTTCTTAGTATTTTTATCGTAACTTCTTTACCCTTAATATTTTTCTTGAACAAACAAATTATTTATCCAAAGTAAGGGTGAATTTCAATTCACATCTAGATATATAAGAACGTACTATAAGAGAGCACTGCAAGGTTCTTTTTTTTACCTTTTCTGGACTTTATCATTTTTTGGTGCCAATTTCTGTATTTTGGCCCTAAAAAAGGTAGATTGAAGATATGATTTTCAGAGACTTTTAGATGAGCATCATCATCTCTCTATCTCATTTTCTGCTTTTTCGTTCCTACAACTTTCTTCAAAATTAACCTCATCCCACTAAAGATATATGTCCGTATCTTAAAAATTCCCTTCTCAAAAGTTCGCAAACAAAAAAAGAACCTTTTTTTTTCATGTTTCTTTAATTGTATTTTCTTGCTAAAGCCAAAATCTTGTATTTTATGATCAATTGATCATGATAAAAAGGTGTGGGAAAGTTGGTCTTGAGGATGATGATGATGATAAGATTATGCTCATTTGATTAATTAGTCAAGGAATTAAAATAGTTAATAATTATTAGCTTAATAGAAATTTAATACTAAAACAAAAGGAGGAGGAAGGAGATAAATAATTAATTATTCAAAAGTGGAAACATAGTCTTTTATGTAGGGGACACAAGTGGGGTGCATGCATGGAAATGGCTAACTACTTTAAGCTTTATTGTGATTTAGAATCTGGAAAATACTTTTACCTTAACTAGTAATTACTGGTCTTATTATAGTTAATTAAAACTAGTATAATATGTAATAGTACTTGCCTTATTGTCGAAAAGTTAATTACTTGCAATTTACTAACCTGCACAAATTAATTCCACAATTAAACTGGATAGATCTAGCAGCTTGTATTCTTCTTTGACTAATCCATCAACTATATAATATGATTACATATATACAAGATTATTATTTTAAATTAGTGGTACTATCATTTAAACTTAAATAAGCTTGTCCTTAATTGACACCACAATTTGATCGAAACGGCCGCTTCTATCCTCAAGAAGAAAGCGACTTCCACTAACTTTTGTTTTATGTAATTTTTCCAACCGTTAATAACCTGTATTAAGCATAGAAATAAAGTTTGAAAATGATATAGAGTGTATGCAATTTTATTTCGTAGAGAGATTGTTTATCGGATTTTAAAAAAAATCCCCATGCTATATAATTTTGTAGTACTGGATTTGTTATATGGTGGTCCTATTAATTGCTGATCGTTTTTATCACCTTATCGTAGATAATTCCTTAGAGGTCAACCATTCATCTCTACTGGTCATATCTTTTTTCTGATTCTCTCTCTTTTTCAGTGTATATATGGATTTACAATTTTAAAATAGACATTTTGAGAAATTAAAAAAATGACAATTTGTTTTCATCTATAACAAAGAATATTCTCCCTTTTCTTTTTGTGCATCTATATGTATGTGTGTGATATAAATAAGACTTGGGAATTTCAACGGTAAAAAAGATAAAAAGAAGTAGGGGGTATTTGGGCCAAAATAAAATTGTTTATAGGATTGGGAAATACTACATTAAACAACTGTTAGTTAGTTGCATTGATGGATCGTTATTTAATTTAGTAATTGTATTAGTAATAGTTTTTATTAAAATAACGTGTTATGATTTTAGAAAATATATTATCTAGTTCATTATAAAACTGATAATTTTGTGTCAAACTTATGAGTACTTTAAATATTTTTAGAACTTATGGGTAGAAATTATGTTTCATGAAAAATATTTCCAAAAACTATGGCCAAATACACATTAAAACTTCACCCAAAATCTAATTTCCCATACATATTTGGAAATATATGACCAAACACGAGCTTAATATATTCACTTAGTCACTTCAACTAAGGTTAATTTCAGTTGCACACTTTAACCTCAGTAAATAAAATGTGTATTGATAAAGGTACATATATTGGTTAATTTTTTCCCTTGTTATTAAAAATTGTTGGTATAACTTGTTAGTCACAAATTAAAACTTGAGGACCTCCTCAATACATGAAGATAGAAATCAATCCAAGAAACCATCGCTAATGGAAAACCAGACACCCATCAACTACAAAAAGTAGTTGAAGCTGAAACAGGTGATCAAGATGGCAACTGGATCGAACCTCAAATCGAAAAGGTTTAGATTTTTTTATACAAGGAACTTAAGAGTGCAATGTTGAGGCTGCAAGACCAGGTGTCTTGCACTTGAAGGGGTTGCCAACTCCGAAAGGGAAGCATCAGAAGAACACTGAAGGAAGAAATTTCTATGCTTATATTGATGTTTCTGTTCTTGACAGACACCTGCTCTGTGCTGCTATAATACTTGTCATGATGTTTTGTCCTGCTATATATTATTTTCATTCAACTGTTACGTTCCTCATTACTGAGTCTTTGCTACTTCAGCAAGAACGATTACAGAAATATCACAACCTTCTTCGAAAGTAGCTCAAAAAGCATGAACTTATTAGGCTGCACTGAGTAAAACTAATTCCACTATTTGCTGACTAACATTGCCTCTATAAGCGCCTGGAAAGAACTGGACGGCAAAAGGGATCATTTATATACATGAGCAACTAGCAATAATATTCACAATACTATCTAGCTTGTATCACCTAAAGGTGAATAAAAGAGACTATACAGTCACTAATTAATGTTAGATTACGCTATTAGACACCTAAAAGTTGGCATAACACAAAAACTAAATTAGAAAAAAATTAATCAGAACCAAGGATGCCACGTCGGATCCATCATGCACAAGTTCCTTGGAGTAAGGGCAGCTTCAACCAACTCCGCTACACCCCTCTGCACAGATTGTGGCGGATCCATGCCATTCTCCTCCTATACAAGTTGAAAGAAGCCAAACACAACAATGTCACAATGCAGGCATTTAGATATTAACTGAAGCTAAACTTATCTATCTAAGCATATGATTTCAGTCACACACAGATATGTCTATATAATAATAGAATACACAGGAGATGGCTAATGCTTGATTTTATTGAAACAGGAAAATGGTAATACCATTACTTGGTGAGGAACTCAAAAGCTATATAAATAGCACCAAAAAGAAAATAAGTGGATACCTCTTCTGAGATGTATTGAGGGGCTATTCCATTGATCCGCCCATTGACATTCTCAACATTTGTAGCGACTTTTTGTGTGAAGTCCACAGGGTTCAGATTACCTGCCCCTACAACAGGGGCAAGAGGCATCCCAAGAGGTCTTCTCCAAGACCAAGATAACAACTCATCTCGGAAAAACATTGCCAGATGATACCATAAGAGCTGGCTTTGCTGCAGATGGTAATTTATTTAAGTCAACAGCATTAAATTCGATCATTCCATTTGCATCATAAGCAGGATGGAAATCAGTCTGGAAAATCTTTCTGGTGTTTTTAGCAAATAATATCTTGTTTAGAGACCTTCCACCAATTTGGAGCATGAACGACGTAAAACTAGAAAGAGCCAACTGGATTGCAAACTGCTTTTTGAAAGCCCACATGTGATTGCCACTCAAGAGTGTTTTGTACATATACTGTGAGAATATGCTTTCTGTGACGAAACTTTTGGTGATCTCGTTATATGCTTGAAGACGGAGATCAACAACAGCATCTGGTGAGATCTGTCCACATATTGCTTGGTTGAGTTGCTCCTTGAAAAATGTGATTGGTAAGTCCTTGCACAATGGTTCTCATAAACCTCCAGGAAAGTGCTGTACATCAAATCATCCTCTACCATGCGAACCTATATCATGAATTCACATGGAGTTATTCGAAAGAAAAAAGCTCAATGTTGAAAACTTATGATAATCAAACAACACAAAAAACTAGATATAAAGGCAGTTACTGTGTAGAATGCAATTTGCATCACTACAGCAATTATACTATAACTCAATAGAGCATGACTGCCTTATTTCTGGCTAATAGAGCAAAAAGGGGGAAATGTAACACTAGTTTATGAGGTGAAGAGGATTAGTTAATACTTGTGACCACACGGGTATAATAATAGGGGTGTGAATGCAGATGTGCCGCCGCCGGGACTCCTTGTGCTTATCAAACATCCGATTCATCACACGGAAAAGCTGTAGGATCCGCTCATCACTTCTGGCATTTGGTGTTAAAGATGTCTGAACAATAAAATGGCATTTGGTGTTAAAGATGTCGAATGTCCATACATCTTCTCCAACACAGACACACACACCTCATAAAGACCCTGCTTACGAGCAATATGAGCAAGCTCATTGACATTCCAAGCCTTGTCAAGATATCCAAGGTGATGCAACTGTGAATTTGTAGTACCAAAATCCTTAAAAGCATCAATCACAGCATTATACTTTCTTTTTTTATGACAAGAGAAACCCGCAGCTGCTATCCGTTGGGTGCACACATGGTAAAACCCCCGCTCCTATGCAATAGCTCGCAAACCACATAGGAGAGGTTACCCGTGCTAGGCAAGCCCGATGCGAAATGCTCGACCCAAAAGGCAAACCCTTGCTTTTGCTGGCAAGGGGTTTCAAACTTGAGACCTTCAACATGAAAGTCCAAGCCCAAACCACTGGGCCACCCCAAAGGGTATCACAGCATTATACATTTCATTCCTCCATTGATGTAAATCATACCAAACAGACGAACTATCCCACTCATTTGGTATCTTTAGCCTCCATGTCTCAAGGATGTCCTTAAGATCAGCATATAGGCTACCATGAACCCGAACAGAAGAATTTCCAGAGATTTTATTTCCATTGGCAATGTCCATGTGACCATATCAATGTGATGGATTCTCCTGATAAAACTGAGAAGCAACATTATCCATGTGATAGATTCTCTGTTCCCCTCCCGTTTCATTGCCGAAAAAGAGATCTTGTACCACGATGAAGATAGTCATCTAAGTTGTAGCCCGTAGACCTCATTCTTTCCAAGAGACCAAAAGCATGATGTGCTTTATCTTGAGAATGGAGAAGGGACTGAAGCAATTTGTTGCAAATTCGTGGCATCAAGCGGACACCTCTCTCCAAAGTATATAGGAAGACCTCAACTGCTTGATCCAAGTTTCCTTCCTCACAAAGACTATGAATCAACATTACACAACTTGGGGCTGAAACCATGACATGAAACTCCACAAGTAAGGAAAAAATCTTCAAAGCCTCGTGTGGCTTGCATTCCTGACACATCCCAATCAACCAAATGTTGTAAGGTGATGAATCAAAGTCTACCCGTTTTAGGTCAATCTCAAGCAACCCTCTAACTACTTTTTCCAGATCACCTTTCTCTAAGTGTTTCTCAATTAACCCTATCACTTCGCCATCTCGAACAGCATGGTTTCTCAAATACTGAAACCAAAGGCTAAACGCAATAGAGATCTGTCCCCTCCTACAGGACCAAGTCATAAGGGACTTGTAGACCTCTGCACTCGGCATGCAGCCATTCTTGCTCATTTGGTCAAAGAGTTTAAAAGATTCATCTACCCTGCCAACCCTTTGGAGACCATCAATAAGTGTCCCATATGTAATTGAATCGGGGAAATGCCCCTTGACTTGAAGCTCTTGAAAAAGCTTTAAAGCACCATTAATTATTCCTGATTTACATAATCCATTGATCAAAATATTATACGTAACTATATTTGGTACAAATCCACAATCAGCCAACTGCATAAGAAGCTTGTAAGCTTTAAGGATCTTACCTGTTTCACACAATTTCTCAATCATTTTTTGCAGGCTTACACTGTCAAGGACTCGATCAGCACCTTGAGAGAGACGAAGAAACAATGAGGGGTTTTTACCTATCTCCATTTTGTAAAACATTAGATGAGCCTCCTCAAGCTCACCGGCCTTACAAAGACCATCAATGAGAGTATTGAAAGTTACAACAGAAGGAAAACATCCTAGCTTCTCCATCTCATTGAAAATATGCCTAGCCTCCTCCACGAGGCCATTTCTGCACATTCCACAAATAACAATAGAGTAAGTATAGGTGTCTGGGAAGCAATCATTTTCTGATATTTCTAGCTGAAGTGAACGAGCTTGGTCTAAGATGCCCACATCACAAAAGCCCTTGATCAGAGTATTATAACACTGTGTGTCTGGTTGCACACCTCTCCCTGTCATATCTCTTAACAAACTCAATGCCTCTTTCACCCTACCTGCACCGGATAAACCCCGAATCATAGTTGTGTACAATACAACATCGGGAACCACATTTTTTTCGAACAATTTTTTAAAGACAGATTGTGCTTCATCAATTCTCTTGGTTCTAACAAAACCATCAATCAGACATGTATATCCCTTTATATCCATTAGATAACCTTCATTTTCGAAAGACCTAAGAAGTGCATGTGTTTCATCAACCCTACCTAGTTTACAAAATCCATTAAGCAAGGCATTGTAAGTAACAAAATCCGGCCTACATCCTCTGGTCTTCATCACATTAAGCAGCCTATATGCATCATCAGTTCTCTTAGCCTGACATAACCCCGATAAAATAACCGTATAGGTAATCTTACTAGGCAATACACCTCTTTCAGTCATTTCATCAAATAGTGCGAGAGCATCATGAGTCCTGCCACTCTTACACAACCCATCAATCAAAATGCTAAAAGTAGAACTATTGGGCTGCGAATTCAACTTCAACATCACATTATACACGGCTAAAGCTAACAAAATAGCATCTTTTTGAACCGCAATATGAAGAATCATATTGTAGGTATATATATTAGGTTTACAATCAAAATCTTTCATTCTACCAAAAGCCTCAACAGCCTTTTCTGCCTTATTTACCTTCCAATAACCCCAAATCAAAGCTGCAAAAGCGTTAGAAGCTATGGGTATGCCGGAAAACTTAAGTTTATCTAGAACATTCCAGTATAAATCGAAACCACCATCTTGTGCAAGCATATCCGCGATTAAATTTTTCGGAACCCAGCTCTGAAATCGCTTTCGTTTTGCAGCCCAGATGAAAAATCGAAAACCCAGTTCCGGATTCTTTCGTTTTTCTTCAAGAATAAAAGATATAATATTAGGACACAGGAAACGAACTAGTTTGTCAAGTGCTGGTTCCAGTGGATCCACTCTTTCGATGATGTTTAGGACCTCGTTGGATACCGCCATTTCCCGGGACGTAGAGAATGATTTCGAATAGACTGAACGAAAGATTGGAGAATGTAGGAGTTTCATGGCTTGAAAAAGAATGTAATGCTGATTTCCGGTATGAGTGTTCAGTGACTGAGTGGGGAATCATCAATAGGCCGCCATGAGAAGGAGACTTTGGTTCACTGTTTGCTAAGTTAATCAGAGATTTTGCGATTGCGAGGGTGGACGGCGGTGTCACTGAGGTGGCGGTATGGTAATTAGGATTTTGAGCTCTCTGAGTCAAAATAGCAATTGCGTTCCTCAAGTTTATAAAATTAAACTTAAACCCCTCTCTACTCTCCAACGCTACTATCGATTTTATTCTCTTAGAATTTTCTATTTTTGTATTTTATTCTCTAAAAGAGAATTTTCAATATTATTTTATTTTTATTTAGTTATTTCATAATATCATTCATTTCTTTCTTCTTCTTTTTTCAAATAATCCTGAATTTGCTTGTGACTCCCATAAATGTTCTAATAATGTATTGCAGGTTCAAAACGAGCATTTTTTACTTTAAATTTTTTATGCCTAGATAAAAACAAGATTTTTTAATTTAAATTTTATGCATTCTTCATAGTGAAAAATAATAATAATTTTAAATTATATCACTTAAAGTGGTGAAGATTAATAAATAAACTAAAATAATATTAATTCATGATGAAAGCAGTATATATTAAATAATATTTTTTAATTATATTATATTTAAAAAAAATACGAATATTAGAGATTTAATTAATGGTCTTATATGATATATAATATGTTAATTTCAAATAGGGAAAAAAATCTGAAAAATACTTCAATTTTGGTCGAAATTGCTGTTACGATACCATACTTTATGGAGGACCTTTTACCTCCTTGCGCTATTTAATAGTGTATTTTAAAGGTATATATGTGGCCACGTGGACACGTTACTATTTATAATGATGCAATATTTATGATGTCCACGTGGGCACATATATATCTTTAATATACACTATTAAATAATGCAGAGGGGTAAAAGGTCCTTTCCAATGTTCAGTATCGTAACAACAATTTCGGTCAAAGTTCGAATATATTTCAGACATTTTTCCCTTTAAAATATTAAATAATAGAAATAATAATAATATAATAATCAAACAGTGAAATAAAGAGTATAAATAATATTTTTTGCAAATTTGAAAAAATACTATTCACCTTTTTATATTTGGAGAATAGAGAGTGATCGATCAGAGCATAGATTCTCTACTTTACTCTCTAGATATAGAGAATAGAAAGTGTAATGGAGATGGTCTAAAAAACATTATTCCAGACAATATAGTGTGAAACACAAATGCTCAAAGTCAAGTTATCTTCATTTGAGATTTTTACGCTCTAGCTTAATAATTATGAGGTGTTCATCAAGAAATTCTTTAATTTTTTTAAAGTTGAATTTCAAAAAATATGTTTTGCCATAAGATGAGAAATTGAATTTAGAATTTTTAAGAATTTGAATAATAACAAAGTTTTCATTTTGTCCACTTTAAATTACAGACAAAAAGTCAAAAGTAACTTCAATTTGTATTCGTGATCAAACACAACTTCAATTTCTAAATATTATTTTTCATGTACAAAACAAAAGTTACTTTTATAAATTTCACAATGAAACATGGTCAAACACTTACTTAAATTTTAGATCTTATCTAATTGATCAATTTTGTACATAATTTAATAACAAAATTCAAACGTAAGTTGTGACACATCGCAATATTACTCTCTTCCCTAAATTAAACCTTAATCTTTTTCTTCTTTTCATCCCCAAGCTTTATCTTTTCGGTGTTTATTTTGAACCATGTAGATTGGAAGAATAGTACAAAGTTTAAAGCTCTTTCAATTGTGAGATCAATTTTATCATTTGTAATATTGTTTTGTTGAATCAAACTTTGACTTGGAGTGAGTTGAGCGAAAGTTGATTTTTCTTTAAAATGTTTTGGAATTATCAATAATTTAGAAATATATTCATATAATTTGACTATCTATCAAACATTAGAAAATAAGTTTAGAAAATATTTTTTAAAGAAAAAAAATATACATACCAAACACATTTAATGAAAAAAAAACAATTCTGTACTAAACTTAATACAGTTTCTATTTTAATTTGTTTTGTTTTACTTCTTTTTTTTTAGCTTATTTTAAGAAATTATTTCTTTTCTTTTTTGGTAATTATCTAATTTTAGATTTTCACATATTTAAAATCATAACACTAAAGAATACTTTGGTACATATTTTTAAATTTAAGTTCATAAGTTCAAAAATATTTTCTATTCATTTAACCATATATCAAGTCAAATCATAGAAACAAATTAAATAGGAGAAATTATTAAATAGAAAACTACGGGAGCATATATGCATGACGAAACAAATCCAGGGGCATATGTGCACTTTGGCGTAACTATGGGGTCTGTAGGTGGTTTTGAACAATTCTGGGGTCCAAACAGAATCGGCGTCTTCCCGAACGCGAAGTCTGTCGCACCGCTATTCTCACCCGCCGTTGTCACCAGCGAATTATCTGCAACTTCCACCGAGTAATTTTCATGTTACATCTGTTCTATGGTGGTAAAGTGAAAGAAACTTCAGAATGAATTTCGAACTTGGATATTAATTTGTTATGATAAATGAAGATATGTCAGATTCAACGAGGCGGCGATAATGGATGAAGCTCTTTCATCTGATAATAGGACGCAGGTTTTCTGAACTAACGATGATCTCTTATACTTGCAATCATCAATTTAGATCTTCTTATGTACTATACATATTTGTTTTTTCGCTAGGCTATTCTCTCTAGAAAGTGATAAAGCTTCAACGAAACTGGTACTAATTGATCTTGAAGACGAGGATGAAAGTTTTTCCTCAATTGTTCTTCTAGATAAGCACATACAAAGGAATGCACATCGATTTTGCATCTTCTCCAAAATTGTCCTAGTACTTATTTATGAGGATTTCGGAATATGTAGTAATGTAGATAGGATATTGATCTTGCAAACACTTAGCTGAAAAATGTGTATTAACAGCTGTTAGTTGATTCACATTGCTCAATTAGGGCGATTATGTGGAATGAAGTTTTGGACATTCGGTACTTGTATATTCTCAGTCTGAAATTTGAAATGAGTGTTACGCTTAGCTAGCTGCTTGCCATCATATAAGGTTCAACAATTTACTTTACTATGAATTTTTCTTTTTTATCATCTCTTATGACTTTAGCTTTCAATTGATTGAACTTCTCTTAGAGCATATCAGAAGAAACATCACAATGCAAATAACGGAGAACACATCAAGTTAAGGTACTAGAGAGTAAAAGAGCTCCCAAAACCTTCCTGGAGCTATTGCATGAGTGTAGAATTTCCCTGGCTTCTAGATGCTATCTATCTCAATTCAGTGAGATTGTTTAACTAACCTCTCTCCATATTATAAATGGGGAAAACGCACACATGTATTCCTTCCCACCAAATGTACCAACCTCTTCATCAAGAGCAGCAGAAGGACCTCCAAACTCCAACTGATCCCCGCTGTCATTTTGCAGAGTTTGTGATTTCTCATCTAAATTTACATGTATGCTATGTGGGATGTGTTTCTGTGCGATCTGATTCCAAACCATCCACAATGATACCCGCTTCATAATATTTGTTGCTTGATTTGTTAAGAGGTGCAAGCGAATTGAATGGGTGGTCAGTCCTGTCTTTACTCGTTGATATCTTGTACTTGAGCATTATTTAGTTGCTTGTCCATGCCCCTTCTGTACATACAATAGTTGATATAGTCGTACCAATCTGACTTGAATTGTAAATTTGTAGATTCCAGCCCTTTTCTCGAGCACCTGTTGTCGTATAATGTTTATTTCACATCTTACTAAATCTGATATTGGATTTTTCAGTTCTAACAGACTCTTCAACAAATTAGTTGACAATGAAATGATCTTTTTCTCACCTTGTAATTTCCCATTGTTGTGCCTTCGCCTCAAATTGCAACTGTTTCCACGTGGTATCATACAGAGGGCATCTTTTACAGTATGTAATATTTTCTTTCTTGAGAAACAAACCTCCCACACCCTGTTGTATAGAGTTTCACCACTTTTGGCCAATTTTCACTGTTCTTAGGTGAGGTGTTTTTAAAATACACTAGGCATGCTATTCATAATCAGCTTAAGATGATACTTCGAGGAAGTCTAGGAAAATTTCTTTCACATGGATGTTCTCATCAGTGTCCTATTGACTAGAAACAGAAACAGAAACTTTGCAATTTGGCTTGGTAAGTTAAAGCTTCTACATTTGTTTGCAGTCATTACAAGATGGATATGCCAGCTTAAGTGATCCAGGCTTATATAGAGACTCTCTTTGCTTTAAGATTACTGCTATCCTCTAATCATGATCTTTGTCATCTTTTTACAGTTGTGTTAATATGCATTTTTCTTGTATTGCACTCTCTCTTTTTCTCAGCATGTTAACAATGTTCGAATATAACCATAGAAATTCGACGGAAAATGAGGGAACATTTTTATGCCTGTTTACAGTAGCACTTGGAGAAGATTCTTAGGGTTCTCCATTGTTAAGAAGGTAACTTTGTAAGGCTTAATGCACATACATAACTGAATTTTCATTTGTTTAACTATTAATTGTGCAAAAAAAACAATCTACTTTAGAGCTAAGACATGGGAGTGTCCCAACTGCTATAATTAATAAACGGCTGCGAGTTCCTGAATCACTTTTCTTACTCTGATCAGATAACCATTGGCTATTGGCTGCTGATGGAAGAAGGCGAAAGGTATGATGAACAACTTTAATGCTTTATCTACAGCAATATATGTAGCAACTTAATTTTATAATCTGGCATTGCAGGTGTAGCTTTTTTATCTTGCTTTCTATTTATCTCTTCATCTTATAATTGGGAATGCTTTACTTTAGAGTTGAGAAAAAGGTGCAACTCTCAATAAGAATTTCAGCTATTAGTGGATGCTATATAGATTGACCTCTTTTCCACGTGCTATTTCCCCTTACGAGGTGAACTGCTTATTGTGGATTTGTTCATAACTAGTCTTGCAGCGTGAATAAAAGAAGCTTTTTACTGCATATTGGTGGAGTCTGTCAAAGCAAATTTTCCTTTATTTTGAAGAATAATCATAAAACCTGCAATTTTAAAGTCTATTTTCGGGATAAAAAGAGCACTCATATTAGCATTAGTTTCGTCATTTTCAGATGTGATTGACTTGTGATGGAATGTATGCGTCCACTATCAGTCAACTGACCAGGTCCCTTGACTCAGCAAGAACAATACTGAAGTGTAAATGCTGGATGTGAAAGACATCTATTGTTCAAAACGAATTCTTTTTACTACTATTTATTTTCGAGCTAATAGTGTCCTCCTCAAATAAAACATTATCGAGATAGGCAAAAGCTATGTGAAAGTTGCAGAATACTGGAAATAAAAACAGAAGGCCAATATTTGTTTTTTTTTTTCAAGTTTTTCTATTTCATAAAACATTCATAATCGTAAAAAAGAAAAGGTTCTCTATTGACTGGTATCTTTATTTCACATTCTTTTTGATTCATCAAATCTATACCTATAGAATTTTATAATCGGCTGTTCTGTAGAAATGAAGAAAGAAAATTTGTTGAACTTAATATAAAAATAAAAAATAAAATAACGAATCCCAAAAATATTCGATTTCTATTTATGGTTCCACATTTCATTTACATGCAATAAAATACCTCGAAAGGTTTAAAGATAAGAACCGCGTTTTACTTCAGGAAATGAAAAACTTGAATCCCCGTTCGATTCACTGGTCAAACTTGGATAAAAAATAGGCTTATTTCAAAGGAGACTAGTAATTAATCCCTTTTATATCATTTGACCAATCGTAACTTCGTGATTTGAATAGTTGAAGTATTTAGCAAAGACTCAGAATAAGTAAGAATAAAAAATTCTATTTAAGTTGGTCCATATTTTTACTTTTTATTGACTCCTTTCAAAAGAGGTAAGATCCGGTGAATCGGAAACAATTAATTAAGAATTCAAAACTTTTTTATGGAACAGACATATGAATATGCGTGGATCATACCTTTCATTCCACTTCCAGTCCCTAGTTTTACTAGTCTTCTCAAGCAAAAGTGAAATACAGATTACAACCACAAAATAAGATTAAGCTATTAATCTCAAAGCTAAGTAATAACCCTATTACTTACTGTGCCTAAGCAGATATCACACTGCCCACTAAGCTATCAACCCTAGATAACTTAGACTTCAACTAAGCAGATACAACACTGCCCACTAAATCAGCTAGCTCCTAGTTGACTTAGAATTTGACTAAACAGATATAACACTACCCACTAAATCAGTTAACTCTAACCGATTTAGACTTTTACAAACCAAACAAAAGATTTGAATCCTTATAGATTAGGAACAAATTTACAATGTAAGCACAGAAGTATGAATCCTAAGACAACTATGACACATGCAGCTTTATCAGGTCCTATTGCTCTTTTGGAGGATACTTCACGAAAATGAGTTTTTGCTTGTGTACTTGAGAATTTTCAAGATGCAAAATCTGAGGTTGTGTATATTGAAATGAACCTTATAAAATGATAGACACAAAACTCAAACTCAACAAAGGTGCTTCAACACTCTATCAGGTCCCTTTGTTGAGCATTAGTATTGTTCTTCTTTGAAGATGGCCTTTTCTTTTGAGCTTGTGAATTTTCTTTGTTTGTCAAATCTTGAGTTTGTGTTTTGGAGAAGAGACTATCAAAATGGACACAAACCCTTGGGACAAGGTCATTGGCTGAAAGCCTGCTGTTATGAAAAACTGTGCACTAACCACATCAGAGTTGACAGCTTTTTGACAGCTGTCTTTTCATCATTTTCTCATACGTAGACTTTCCGGGACCAAGTCCCTTGTTGCGTTCTTTAAAAAGACTTGCTAGCTCTCTCTCTTCTTGAATGAATAATGTTATTTGTTTATTGTTGGATATATCAGTTACCAACAAGGGTTTTTGACCACTTAAACAAACAACTTCGTCTGCCGTTCCTATTGGTGAAGTACGCTACACATCTCACCAACCAACCTGACAGCTTTACAGTTGTGCACCACTTTGAATCTGGACGGAAGTACTCTGTCAAGGACCGGATCCCTGCATTTGTGAGGATCATTAAAACACTAGAATATAACATTTTTCCCCTTTATGATGAAGACACACAAATATTTCTCATGCCGAGTTTATTCATTCATTTCCCTTTTCATCAATCCCAATACCATAAGGCATTTTCTTGGATCTGGTCCCTTGTTAGATTCCTAAGTTTGTTAAATCATCAAAACTTAACATCAGCTCCAAGTAACAACTTGTATTCCTACTTCCTTCCAATCAGATTTCGTGAAGAAAAACTCTGATATAACTAGGCGATCGAGCTAGCCTAGCTAACACGAAACCATACTATTTCCATTTAATTAGTGATACTTTGATAGGAAGAGATGATAAACGGAGACAAATTGGGAACTTTAGACTCTAGTTCTCTCCCTCACTTCATTGGTTAGTAAATTTGTTCAATTTTTTCGAGTAAAATGTGAAAGCATATGGACATTTGGGATTTTACATGTCTCAAAGCCACGATGCTCTGACGTGGGAAAAACAATTCAATTTCTACATAAGGTGCATTCCTATAGATTAATCTCTTTTCCTTTCCTATTTCCAGTAAGAATTTCATGTGCTATTTTGTTTTCCCTAAATGGTTGCTCGTGAACTTTTTTTTATCTGCACGTTGGTGAAGTTTGCCAAAGCAATATTGCCTTTATAGTTAAATAGTGGCTTTGGTGTTATAGATTTAAATTAAATTCGAACATTATCTAGATAAAAAGGTGCCTTGTTTGAATGGTATAACATCACTAATATTGCCACTAAAATGTTTCTTCAACTAGGCAATCATACTTAACACGAAATCGTTCTGTCTCCAATTAATTAATGTCGCCATATTTTGAAAGGATTAAATAAAAAGGGAGGCAGTTTTTTTAGTTTCACACTCATTTTTTAGAAGTTTTTACTTGCCCTTTCGTACTATGCAAATGGGAGAAAATGTGATTAGGGACTCTTTGGAATGCTTACTAAACACTCTCTCTTAAGCAAAGCCAATCACTTAAGCAAATAGCTGCCCATATTAATTAGATTGACTTCAATTCTTTAATCTCAAGCTAAAAATATCTTTTGATATGAGTTTTTTTTTTTTTTTTTTTTAATTTTATATAGTTCAATTTCTTTCCTAAATGGATTGATCAACCTCTTTCATTAAATTTGAATAATGTTAAGGAACTCGTATTAATCTTAGTATACTGTTGAAGAAGAAGGAAGTTGACGATTGGAAACATCATGATATTATTTGAGAGTCAAATTGTCAGGGCTTTAATTTGGTTATGTTGGACTCGAACAGCACAAATCATGTTAATTTTCTTATTTAATTGCTTAGGGTAAGGTCATAATCAAACCAAAAGGAATTATGGTGAATATTCACACCCACATAGTTAGATTATAAAATGATTGTGCTAAAAAACACATTGATGCTACATATACATTACAAGGGAAAAACTTGATTACATACGCCAAGAATGATATCTTAGACATTCGATCCTTTTCTAATTGTCATCATGCATCTATTGGCCTTGGTTGACAAATATAAAAATGATATCTTCTGCCTTCTAATTGAACCTTGTCCACATTTTCGTATATAAAAATACGAAACATCTTCGATGTCAATTATCAAAATTAAATTATATTGCACCATGTACGTCGGCAGTTAGGCTTTTTTCAACTTGGCTGTATGCTCTTCTTCTTGTTCATATTAATATGATACAAAAATTAGTAATGTCGTAAGTTTACTATAATAATGGGTAAAGTTTTATGACCACACACATGAAATTTAACATGCTGCAAAAATAGTGACATCAAGATTGTAAAAAATGGATATGGAACAAGAGTAGTGGTTAATAGGTAATAGGTAAAAAAAATAAATTGTCCTTTCTTGATTTGTCAAAATAGACAAGTAATTAGGAACAAATGGAGTAACACCATAGTAATTAATGTGACCTGATATTACAGTATTAATGGTTGAGCATGGGCGGTGCCTTGTTACGATATATTTAAGCATTTTGGATGTACGTGCGTACCGAAAAAATCATAGTTTTTTGGTTTGTTTATAATATACTCTCCGTCCCATATTAAATGAGCATATTATTAAAATTCGCTGTTTCATATTAATTAATTAATTACTAAATTAGGATAGAATTAATTAAAAAAATTCTATCTTATGTACCTACTATTAATATAGCCTTTTGAATATAAACAATTTTCAATACTAATTATTTCTAATAAAATTGATTAATTTATTAATAATTTCTTAATTATAATATAAAACAGAAAGTGTCCCTCTAACAAGGGATAGAGAGAGTGTACCACACAACAAACCACCTTGAGAAGTTAAAGATATGATGTAATGTAAGCATCAAATATAAAGTATGATGAAGCACATGGTGCAACCTCCTCTCAACTTTGGGATTTTATTTTCCAAGTATGGTGGCATGTAAGATATTGTACGTATAAAATGAAATTTTTCTTACGCACAGATAAATGGAGTTATCTTTCCTTTCCGTTAATTTTCGTTATATTTCTTGGGTTTGTCTTATCAGATTACCACTTACAATAGAATTAGGATAAAGATATAGATGAACGACACACAAAAGCAATTATTTACTTTAGTAATGCATTATCTACGGCGCATAAAATTTGTATGTTGAAACTTGAGGACTTTATGAAGTGGCATAGCTCTTACTCATGGCCACGAATGTCTGATTAGGCGGGAAAAAAAGCAATTCAGCCTTCCACATGGGCTGCACTCTTACATTCATTTTTCATTGGACATAATAGTACATTTCTTTTAACTTTTTAAACGACATAAGTAGATACTTAAATTTATATAAATTTGAATAAAATAGATATATACGTGGTGTTATAAGTAATATAAGATGCATATGTCTATTTGTTCAACTTTATACAAGTTCAAGTGTCTACTTATGCATACTCAAAATTAAATGACATAAATACCATGAAATCAAGTTAAATGACATGTTTATAACCTTTTTGGATTGACTTCTAATTTATTTTGACTTAAAACTAAGTGCTTAAAAATATTCTTTCACATTATTAGAACAAAATAAAAATACTTTGATTTATAAAAACACTTGAAATAAGTCAATCCAAATATGATGTATTTCTTTCTCTTCTACATTTTTTCTTTCTTATGTGTAGAGGTGTAAATATTTTTTTGAATAATGAAGTTACCCAAAAGATTTTGGTATCCCTTTCTAAAATACTGTTTATAATAATGAAAAACTAAATAAAGTACTTAATACCAGTGGCGGAGCCACATGAGGTTGACCGACACCCCTCCGTCGAAAAATTACATTGTGTAGCTAGACTAAAAATATTTTTTTATGTATATATATTACATATTGACACTCCTTGATATCTACGCGATTTTACTTCTTTATATTTTGACACCCCTTTGTCAAAGTTCTGGCTCCGCTATTGCTTAATACAAAGTGTAAAATACCCGGTGATGTATATACATATAAAACAGCTTATATATTAACATATGTGCATTTATTTAGACTTCAAAAATTTGGCGGGCGTATTGTATTTCTCCTTTTAACTGCTTATGGTGAGTCAACTACTCACGCAGATTACAAAAGATAATCTCAAATTATGCACATAAAAACTCTTGAGGAGATATTCAATCCTTTAATAATTGTCATCAATAAGGCATTACTTGACAAATAAAAATGATCCAAGCCACACGCCACTAAACCTTGTCTACACTTTAATATTATTTATTTACAAAAACTGCTAATATTATCTCAACCAACCATCATCTTTAATTAGTACACTTGCTGTTTTCTTTTTCCTATAGTGCTCTCTCTTCATGCAGCTTTTTTAATCAAGAAAACAGAGATTCCCAGGCCACATGGATACCAATTCTTGAAAGTGTCCAAAAAATTGGCCGACTTTGGTCAATTGAGTTCACATGCAAAAGTTGGTATATTTTGTGCTTGCCGGCAACAATAACTTTTGACGGATTGTAGGCCAAAAAACTGTCTTCAATTCTTATAGATAAAAAAAAATAACAGCTAGAATGGTGATCATCAAGCTTGTTAAGAATGGTAATGGACCATAGGCTAAAACGCCACTGCTACTAATCAATGAAACGTTACTGCCACCACCAGGGTATTGTCCTCCAGATGATTTCTGACTGCAACATTAATAACATCATTATATATTATCAAATTAATATTTTTATTAAGGTGACATAATATAACATGGACGGTGCCTCGATTTGTTAGGGACATAAGTAAGCACTTTGAATCTACTACCTAACATGAAAACCATATAGATATTTTTTATTAAAATATATAGGACACAACAAACCGACTATAGGAAGAAAGGCTTATGTATGGTACAACGCACATGGGACCCAATTAATACCCCACCTTACTCTTAACTTAAGGTTTGCTTCAAATGAAACCAACAATATAATCCTTTTTTGGTGTGACCCACTATAGATTATCAAAAGGTACGTAAATGCACCCATTTCCGACAACTTCAATTACATCATCCTCAAAACATTTGCAACCATGTTACTTGTTCAACAAATGTCCACCTAAAAAAGCTCTTTTGCATGCATATTACTATATTTTTTACTTAATCATGCACATCGGATACATTGATTAAAGTGTATCGTAGAAATGTTAATAATATCAATAGTTAAATGTATTTATATAACTAAACTCTTAAAAAGTTGTTTTAATTTCTATCAAACATCCTATGTTTATTGCGTATAAAGGTCTAATTAAAACTCCAAACCTTAACCCATGTTCATATATAGGAGAAAGAGAAATTAGTTGAAAATACTAATAACCCCAAAACATTTTTAAAAACTAACCAAACTTCATGATCGACAAATAATGAAAATTTTCAAAAATCTATGTATAAATTTAATCCAAATTCTACGGGCGAATGGACAAGCTTAAGTTAATACAAATTGAGAAAAGAAGATTGGAGAAAGAGAGTGTATGTACCTAGTTGAAGGAGCAGGACAAAATGTGATGACATAATCTGCAGAAGCACAAGTGAAGGTGCTGGTTCCATCATCATATGCATAGCTGTATGCGCGTGGGCATGAATTCTTGAAGAATTCCGAGTAATCAGTTGGCTTGCATGTATCAGGCGTAGCATAGGCCCCACTACAACAATATCTTGGATCCCCAAACGCTTCACACGCGCTTTTACACGCCACGCACTCATCGGCACCTTCACCGGTACTCATCAGCTTCAGCTCCGCCGGACATGGCCCATTAAGATCAACAACACACCCAGTTGCAGAACAGTTTCCGGAACCAGTTCCACCTTGTGGGGTTATTAACATGGGCAAGTTATAACCATCCACAAGACTAACATCATAGAAGTCGAGCCCGTCGGCGCCGTTGAGTGTGAACTCCGCTAAAGTCGCCGGTGGAGCAGCTCCGCCGGTGCACTCTAGTGTTCCGGAGCCGCAATCACCTGTTACGCAAGTGAATTTACCCGTTGCCGAATCTTGGGAGCAAAAAGACCGACCCCATAAACGACCTGACCAACCCGCCGGAAAAGAAACGGGAATGGCCTGTCCTGGATTCAGCTGAAATCCAGTAGGAGAAATCGGGGATGTTCCAGCACCGGATAATATCCCCGGCCATACTGTATAACTGCACTGGTTTACTAATGTAAATGTTGCTGATGACACCCCTGTTTTTTTCCAAAAAAAAATTAACAAAAATGAATACCAAAAATTCAAACTTCATAACAACAATTATCAATCAGAACCAAAAACTTACCTGAAATTAGGAATACGAAACATAAAGCGAGCAGGGGAAGAAGAAAAACTTGAGCTTTCTCCATGGAATTGATGTTGCTCTGTTTTCTGTAAGTTATTTGAAGAGAATGAGAAAGAATTAATTTGGCAATGTGGAGGAATAACCAGTGAAATGAATCTTAGAAGTATCAATCAGGTTTTCGCAGTCAGATATTTATAGGGAAAACTTAGAACCGACGTTAAAGGGAACACAACACCGCCAGAGGGTAAGGTCGGCTCCGCTCAAAATGGGTTGTAATAAATTAAGAGAAGACAGCTTTGAGAGTAGCAGAGCTAATTCGTAATTTTGAAGGATTAGTAAAAATACTTGTAGTAATGAGGATGTGTTTAAAGAGCGGGATTTAAATAGAATGTGGTTTAAGGTAATTGCAGACTTTAAAAAGAAGTAAGGGAGGGACTTTTGGGAATGGGGAAGGTCGGGAGTTAATGACGGTTAAATTCGACGGCCCTATGGGCCTTGGGAAGATAGGTATGGGACCCGGCAAATGACGGTCGGTTCATCACTTGGTGGGACCCATCAATATGAAAAGGTCAAATAGGATCCATGACCTTTGGCAGAAGCAAGTTGAAACCACTTAATTGAACCTCAGCCGCAAAGATTCATATTGTTTTTGTTATTCCGCTTCAATTGATTTCATACAGAATTTAACAAAATATATGCTATCACTAAAATTGTTATCTTAAATTAAATAATATTTGGAATTTAGAATATATCAAATATTCTTTTTATCCTTCAAATTTTAAATTTGACATTTGAAAAGTTGAAATTAAAAAAAAAACAAAAAACAAAATGGATCGGAGGGAGTAGACAAATAGTATTTCTAATATGTTTTCACGCTTTCTGTAATTATGTCCCAAATATAAAAATCGAAATGGAGAAGAGGTTGATAGTTGATACTCTCTTCAATTTAAAAAAAATGTTACTACAGTATTTCAATTATAGAAGTTTTTTTTTTAAAAAAAAAAAAAAGTTGTGGGGGGGTG